CCAGCTCACCGAGCCGGCCCCTACTAGCCGCGCTAGCCCCTGCACGCCGCTGTCCAGTCTTTGGCAGTCCATGTCGACGGTAAGCTGCCCTGCCCTCCCATGCGTGCTGCCCTCGCTGACGCTGCCACACCTGCTAAGCGTGCGGCTTTCACAGATACTGAGATCGCTCGCTCTGTCTGGGAGTCGCGTGACGCCACTGCGCAGCTAGCTATCAGTCACGCCCTCCCACTGTCCAAGTGTCCCTGCTTTCAGGCCACAGCCAAGGGGTACCTAGATGCAGTCATTGCTCGCTATTCCACTCCCTCCTCCGCCTCTGCTGGCCGCCTCCTCCTACCCCTGCTCTTCCCTGATCTCGCGTCCTTCCCCACTATCGCTGATCTCGCCACTCACTTGCGCGCTCTTGAGACTAGCTACCGCTTTGCTAGCACTAAGGCTTAGCTGACTATACTTCCTCCCCCCCTCGGCGTTACCCTTTATTTTCTAGCCATGCGCCTCCCTGACCACCTTCCTTAGTCTCCACCCCGCTGACCTCACCCTTACCGACTTTGTCGCCACCCTGCCGACAGTAGAAACCCGCCAGCACGCTATCGCACAGTCTAGCGATACTGCGGCGGTCCCTATTTTCCAGGAATTTGCTCCCTCCTAGTGCACTTACTCTGATGTTTCCGCTGTTGTCGCTGAGGCAGTCCCTGTCACTGAGACCGCTGCGGTGGCCTCAGCGCAGCCTCGTCAGGGTAGAGGTCGTTGCCCCAGAGGGGGGCGTGGGTGGGGGGAAGGGTGCTGGGGGAGGCGGGGATGGTGGGGGCGGTGGAGGTGGTGGGAGCGCAGGGGGTGCAGATGAGGGGGTGGGGGCTGATGCACCAGAACAGCAGCAGGAGCAGCAGCAACTGCAGCAGTAGCCGTAGCTGTGGTAGCAGCAGCAGCAACAGCACTCGCAGCAGCAGCAGCAGCAGCAGCAATGGGGACCCCTGCCGCTGTGGTGGCACGGCGGCTTTGGTGGTGGTGGCCGCAGAGGCGGCCCTCGCAGCTCGACGCCGGTTGGCAGCTCCAGTTCTGTGAATTGCCACTACCAGATCCAGTTTGGTCCCCTTCGTGGCCCAGTGTTTGACCAACCCAGTCACACCACCGTTCGTTGCTACCCCCACCTCGATGACCTCTTCCATCTCCACTTTGGGCCCACGTCGTCCCTCCTGGACTGGCACAGCTTGGTACATCGTCATGTGCCGGTCTTTGAGCTATATATGGATCAGATTCTCTCTGCTATGTATGCCATATAGGCTAATGACTCTAGTGTGACTGGACTTTATTACCCTGTGTTGTCTAGCCTAGGTGTGTCTGCTGTGTGTCGACTAGGCTTCCCTGCTGCATCAGGTGTAGGACCTTCTGACTTGTTTAACCTTGGCTCCACACTAGTGCCCCTGCCGGGTGACGTTACCACCGCACTCTCCTTCACGCTGGACTCTGGTGCGTCCGCCTGCTTCTTTCGTGACCACACGACGCTCATGCCGCTTTCCGCCCCAACAGCAGTTGCCCTTGCCGACTCCTCCTCCAGTCCGGTAGTTGCACGTAGCTCCACTACACTTCCATGTTCGGCTGCTCCCTCAGGCCCTCTTATAGTTCTGCACATCCCCTCGTTCTCCAAAAACCTAGTTGGTGTTGGTTGTCTTCAGAAACTCGATGTCACCACTACGTTTTCTTGACACGAGCGGTACGCAGTCTGTACTGAGGCCTTCACTGGTGCCCCCCTCACCACGTTCCCCCGGGACCTGGTGTCTGGTCTGTTCACGCTGGACACCGCATCCCCCTCGGTGGCTATGTCCCCCCAGGTAGTTGCGGCTTGCTCGTGTCGGTCATTCACTCACCTGTGGCTTCTATGGCACCACCGCCTAGGTCACCCCGCACTTCCGCGTCTACGTCACATGTCCCAGCACGGTCTTGTCTTAGGTCTCCCTGCGTCGCTCCCTGCCCTCCCTCCCTTGCCCGCACCTCCGGGCACGCTTTGTGTCAAGGGCCGGCTGCGCCGTGCTCCTTCCTCCTCCTCCTTTCCCCCCACCACTACGCCACTCCAAACCCTGTACCTGGACGTCTGGGGCCCAGCCCAAGTCCCCGGGCCGCGTCGCGAGCGCTACTTTTGGTTCTCGTAGACGACTATTCGCTCTACACCACGGTGTTCCCCTTGGAGCAAAAGGCCAACGTGCCTAACATTCTTATCCCGTGGCGTGTAGCTGCCCGAGTCCACCATACCCAGCCCGTGCTTCGTCTTCACTCTGATCGTGGAGGCGAGTTTGCCTCCGGTTGGCTTGGCTAGTTCTGTCATGCGTAGGGCATCACCCAGTCGTCCACACTCCCGGACTCCCCACAACAGAATGGGGTTGCTGAGCGACGCATTGATTTGGTCATGGAGGTGGCTTGTACCTACATGATTCATGCTGGTGCACCCCGTTTTTTGTGGCCATTCGCTATGCGCTACGCCCCTCACCAGCTAAACATGTGGCCCTGCTCTTCGCGCCCGCATGTTTCGCCGACCCTTCTCTGGACCGGATCACCTGGTGACGCGTCGTCGTTTCACGTCTGGGGCTGCCTAGCTCAGGTCCGCGACTCTTGCGCGGACAGGCTTACCGCCCGCACAGTCCCTTGTGTCTTCCTTGGTTTCCCTCTAGACACCTCTGGCTGGCACTTCTACCACCCCGCGTCTCACCGTTTCTTTCACTCGCGTGACATCACATTTGACGAGTCTGTCTCCTTCTACAACCGTTTCCCCCACCGAGGTCTCCCGGTTACCCCGCCCCTGTTCCTTGTCCCCACTCCCCCGGTAGCTCCCGCTCCTCGTCCTGTGCCGTCTGGTGTGTCTCACGTTACTCCCGCTTGTTGTCTATTGCATAGTCCAGCTGTGAGGCTGAGATCTACCTGCTGCCATGGCGGCACAGGAGCTCCGTTGGCTGACGTTCTTGCTTACGGACTTAGGTGAGCGGCCAAGCTCTGCCCCGGTCCTATACACTGACAACAGGGCCATGATCCTCCTCTGTCAGAAGGCTCGACTAGAGGGCAGAGCGAAGCACATCCAACTGCGGTACTTCCTCCTGCGCGAGCTACAGCAGCGCGGCCAGGCACGGGTATTACACTTGGCCTCTGGTGCCAACACATGGTATCTTTACGAAGGCGCTTGTGCCTAAAGATCATCAGCGGCACTGCTTACAGCTTGGCCTAGTTCCAGTAGCTCCTCACTTGTGTACTACTCCTTATATTATCTTGACTAGCCTTGTGGCTGTTGTCTCGATGGCTGGACTAGTAGTTCCGCCCTGAGTTACTCTTGTTTAGTTTGTACCCTTGCTGATTGGACTTTGGACCCCTGCCTCTGAGGTTAAACTAGTAGTGTCGCCGTGAGCTGCGTCTCTCTTGCTGGGCACTGCCCCTTATCTAGCCTAGGGGGTGTGTAAACTTATACATATGTTTTATATGTACCAGTTATAGGCTAGATGGGTTTGTGCTCTTAGAGAGTACAACACCCAACCATATTACTCCCTTGTATCCCTTGCTTGAGTTCACTGCGTCATGCTGACACGTGCACCATTACTCTCACATAGTCACACTTGGTACGCTAGGTCCTTCTAAGGTTCGGCCTTCAGTTCTCCTCTGCATAGCCCACCCCTCTGCCATTTTATCACAGGCTCTCAGCTCCAGTCCCTGACGAGCCGATCGAGCCTACGGGTCAGTACGCAGAGCTTGTGGACTGCCTCATGTATCTGATGACTTGCACTCATCCATATCTCGCATGCCCTTGTAATATCCTAGCATGCTTTGTTGCAGCACTGGTCAGTTGCTAAGATGGTGTTGTGACATAGATATCCATGTTGGCGATCCATTTGCGGACGTAAAAAATTCGATCGCTCGGATCGAATGGCTCAGGTGGGCATGGCTTCAGAGCCTCGAGAAACTGCTGCGATTGCTGCGTCGTCACCGTTGTCATTTCATGCTGCGAGCCGGCGAGTCGAGTTACTCGCTCGAACTCGTTTTGCCAAGCATTCCAGTCCACTTGCATCTCCTCCTGTAGGGCAGCGATGCGCGCGAAGAGCTGCTGGGTAACTTCAGTATTGTCGAAGTTCGCCATCTTGTTCAAAACACGCGCTGAGGGGTTAATTCAAAAACGCGGAGCTGGTGCTTACCGGAATCGGCGCCGAATTAGTCACCCCCGGTACATCACGTAACCAGGTTTACCCCATCCAAATAGAAAAGACACTTCTAGTAATAGAATCACGATGCGTATAGCCATGCAATACTGTTAGCTTTAAGGGATTATGGAAGGATTACGCTAGATATAGCGCGCCAGTACATCCCGAGCGTGGTCGGTGATATTAATTATAATAAGATGATAAACCAAAGGATTATGGAAAATGAGGAATATGAAACCAAATGAGATTAGATAAAGACCAAATGAATCATGATAAAAATAGGAATGAAATAGAAAGGAAATATGGAAAGGGGAAAATGGTGTAACGTTATCGTAATCTCACACATGCACAGCAAATGTATAAGTTCACACTCCCCATAGGCTAGATATGGGGCAGTGCCTAGTAAGAGACACGCAACTCAGGGCGGCACAACTAGTCCAACCTCTAAGGCAAGGATCCGAAGACCAGTTAGGAAGAGTACAAAATGAGCAAGATTAACTCAGGGCAGCACTACTAAACCTGTCACTGAGACAAGAGCCACAAGGTCAGTCAAGATAATATAAGGAATACTACACAAGTTAGGGTCCTAGAAATTGAGGAGCTACTGGAACTAGACCAAGTTGTAAACAGTGTCGCTGATGATCATTAGGCGCAAACGCCTTGGTAAAGATATCAGTTGTATTGGCACCGGAGGCCAAGTGTACTACGCGTGCCTGGCCGCGCTCCTGTAGCTCGTGTAGGAGGAAGTACCGCAGCTGGATGTGCTTCACTCTGCCCTCTAGTTGAGGCTCGTGACATAGGAGGATCATGGCCCTGCTGTCAGCGTACAGGACCGGGGCAGAGCTAGGCCGCTCACCTAAGTCAGTGAGCAAGAACGTTAGCCAGCGGAGCTCCTGTGGCGCCATGGCATCAGCGCAGATCTCCGGCTCATAGCTGGACTGTGCAATAGCCAACAACTGGGTGGACCTCCACGAGATAGCGCCTGCACCAAGGCTAAAGCAGTATCCTTGAGAGGACATGAGCGTCTCAGACGAAATAAGAGGGCAGGGAATTAGGAGGGCATGGCATGAGCCAGTTGCCCACTCCTTTTGTAGCCGGTCGTCCAACAGCAGCACGCGTGGGTTGTGGATGACCACTCGGGCGATGGCGATGCATTGCTTCTGGCCGCCTGGCAGCTTCACTCCGTGCTCGACCACCTGCATGCTAATGGGGAAGAAAGTTGGGGAGAGTGGGGGGTGTGGGGGTTAGGGTGTGGAGTGGGAAGGTTGTGGATGACCGCTCGGGCGATGGCAATGTGCTGCTTCTGGCCTCCTGACAGCTGCACTCCTGCTCTCCCACCTGCGATAGGAGTGCAGCGATATAATTATGGGGGAAAGGAATGGGCACGGGAGGTTAGTACGGCAGGGTGAAGGAGTGACGGTTCATGGGACGGCAATGCACTGCTTCTGGCCCGAAATGACCTTAGAATGGAATCAAAAGGCATCTGACAACTGCCCACGAAGCGTCTGTGTGCCCTGTGAGGACCACTGGCCTCCGTCCTCCTAGCAATAGCCCCATGCCTAATGTACGCCACAGCCACAGTCACGGCCACAGCCACAGCCATAGCCACAGCCACAGCCACAGCCACATCCACAGCCACAGCCACAGCCACAGCCACATGACTTAGACTCACGTCAAGGAGCAGCAGCGCATACACGGGGTTTAACACCCCTGCCATGACCGCACCTGCCACCCCCAGCGCAGTAAAAGGCCACTCTGCTACACTCATTGCAGCCAGCCACACGCACACCACCCACACGTGCACTACTCACATACACATGCACAACAAGTGTCCTACTCACGTCGGTCAGCAGCAGCGCATACACTGGGTTGAACGCCCCTGCCATGACAGCACTGCCCACGGCCCATGCCCAGCACGGTGAACGGCCACTCCGCTACACTCATTGCAGCCAGCCACACACACACCACTCATACATGCACTAGTCACATAAACACGCACTACAAGTGTTCCACTCCCGCCGATCAGCAGCACACTCGCACCATAATCACACGTGCAATAGTCCCACTCACGTCGATCAGCAGCAGCGCATACACGGGGTTTAACGCCCCTGCCAAGACAGCACCGGCCACGCCCAGCGCAATGAACGGCCACTCTGCTACACTCATCGCAGCCAGCCACACACACTCCACACTCACACATGCACTGGTCACATACACACGCACTACAAGTGTCCCACTCCCGTCGACTAGCAGCACACTCACACCATAATCACACGTGCACTGGTCCTACTCACATCGATCAGCAGCAGCGCATACATGGGGTTGAACGCCCCTGCCATGACAGCCCCCGCCACGCCCAGCGCAGTAACAGCCTCTCCACTACACTCATCGCAGCCAGCCGCCACCACGTCGCCTTAGGTCGCCCCGCCACTCCTAGCGCTGTTTCTCCTGATGCTTCATCTCCCTTCTCCCTACCTCCTTCCAACCCTACCTTTTCACCTCCCTCCCCTTTCGTCCCCCTCTTCTTGCCGCCAGGCAGTAAGCCCCTGAGGGGGCCAGGTAACACCTTCCTCAATTCACCCCACACTCTCTTCCTCCCCCCTCCCCTTTCCCCTCCCTACCCTTCCTCCTCCTCCTCCACCTCCTCTTTCTCGATTCCTTCCTCTGGGTCCATGTCAGCAGGGTCCACGTCACCACCAAGCCCACTGTGCCCACGTGGCAAGGACGCCTCTGAGAGGGAGCTCAGAGCCAGGGAGATCTTCCGCCCCACGTCCTCCTTCCCTCCTGATTGGTCCACGTCAGCAGCTGCCACTGACATGGCAGCAAGAGGGTCGTTAACACGTGCATATGCATGTGCATGTGCGTCTTGCCCTGCTACCATTTGCAGCCGCACCAGATTAGCATAAATGCCCCCGCCCTTCCTCCCACGTTCTTCTTCCCCTTTTCCTCTCCCCCTCCCCCTCCCCTTCCCCCTCCCCCGCCCCCCCAAGCGCCATCAGCTCCCCATGGCTCCCCTGCTCCACCACCCTTCCCCCCGCCACAACTGCAATCTTATCCGCATGCTGGATCGTTGACAGCCGGTGCGCGATCACAACCGTCGATCTCCCCTCCATCAGCCCGCCGTCCAGCGCGGCCTGAACCACGCGCTCTGATTCGCTGTCCAGCGCTGACGTGGCCTCGTCCAACAGCAGCACGCGCGGGTTGCGGATGACCGCTCGGGCGATGGCAATGCGCTGCTTCTGGCCTCCTGACAGCTGCACCCTCCGCTCGCCCACCTCGATATTCACTTCCGCGCTACTCTGGGTTTCCACCCATAACTCCTGGAACCCAGCTAGATATGATTAGCTGCAACAACTACAATAGCATGTGCGCACCATCGCCACTCGATCCCTGCCTTCGGACGGTCAGGATCAGGCCCCCAAATTGCAGACTTTTTACTCTGATTCATACTTTTTTTGGGGGTGTACACTGATTGGGAAGAGTTTTTTTTTTACGTGACTCTGATTTTTCAGAGAAGATTTATGTACCTACGCTGATTTTTCAGACTTTTTCTACTAGTGTACTCTGATGCCTCAACTTTGTATGGGGGGGTGACTCTGATTTGTGTAATACCGGAGGAGCGTGATTTACCTGTGAGGGAAGCTGATTGGCCCTTAGCCAAAATCAGAGCGCGAAGCTTGCGGGGGGCTTTGTGAGGGCGGTTACCGGCCCTTTACCAAAATCAAAGGCCAGTGCGTAATGGGGGTTGTGTGAGGGAGCTGATTGGCCCTTCACCAAAATCACCTCCCACTTTGTGTAGGGTGTGGGTGTGAGGGGCCGATTGGCCCTTGAAAAAAATTACCGATTTTTGCTGCGGGTTGTGTATGCAAGGGCGCCCATTGGCCCTTCACGAAATAGCCACGTGGATGGCGCAATTTCCCTCCCGCCCTGCAATTTTACTTTGCCCGCCCCCCAATTCCTTTCCGCCCGCCCCATTTGTGCTGGCACGGGGCCGGGTCGAGGGGTGACGCGAAATTCTGTGTGCTGTCGCCAGCACACAGATAGCAAGAGCACGCAAGAAGAGAAAGCCCCTGGATTAGGAAAGGGAAGGAGAATAAAGGCATACAGAACACCGGTTTTATAATCAGCGTAGAAATTAATGGTAACTCTGAATAATCAGACAAAAAATCTCTTGTTACTCTGATTTTTCAGACTTTTTTTAAGGGGCGACTCTGATGGCCATACCAAGGGATGACAAGCAAGTCTGATGAATCAGACACCCCCAAAACCAATTTGGGGGCCTGGTCAGGATGGACCGTATCCTCCCTCCCCCCAGGAACGTGTCGACTTATTCATATATTGTTATGTAGAAGTTCTAGGCTAGATAGGGTATGTTCTTAGTGGGTACAACCCAAATGCTATATCTCCCCTGTTCTCCCTTGTTCTAATCATTCTTTCTAGTCTTAACATGGTATCACGAATAGGTAGGTCCACCCACCCGCTTCCGCCCCGTGCCGCCACCTACCGGACCCTCGCGCCCCTTGCTGGCCCCGCATGCCCCTACGGCCCCGTCCCGCCCCTAGCAGGCCCCGTCGCGCCCTTACGGCCCAGCTGTGCCCTTAGAAAGCCCCGTCGCGCCCCTACAGCCCCGTCGGGCCCCTACGGCCCCGTCGCGCCCCTACGGCACCGTCGCGCCCCTAGCAGGCCCCGTCGCGCCCCTACGGCCCCGTCGCGCCCCTACGGCCCCGTCACGCCCCTATGGCCCCTCGCTCCCCTAGCCGGCCCCGCCGCGCCCCTAGCTAGCCCCGTCGCGCCCCTACGGCCCCGTCGCGCCCCTACGGCCTTGTCGCGCCCCTATGGCCCCGTCGCGCCCCTAGCCGGCCCCATCGCGCCCTTACCGGCCCCGTCGCGCTCCTACGGCCCTGTCGCGCCCCAAGCCGGCCCCGCGCGCCACTACGGCCCCTCGCGCCCCTACCGGCCCCTCGCGCCCCTAGCCGGCCCCTCACTTATTCATATTTTGTTATGTAGAAGTTATAGGCTAGATAGGGTATGTTCTTAGTGGGTACAACCCAAATGTTATATCTCTCCTGTTCTCCCTTGTTCTAATCATTCTTTCTAGTCTTAACAGAACGGACAGATTTTGCTGTCACGTACTGTTCTATCAAAGAAGCTTAGGACACTAACTAAACTTAGGAACCTAGCTTAGCTAGGAAGCAAGGAAGGACGCCATGGAATGGCGTGAGGAAAGTAGATCTAGGAGCATGGGAGAGAAGTTGACGAGAAAGAAGAGGATCGATTAGGAAGAGAGAGGAGTACAAGGAGGGGTTTGTACCCTCTACAGAAAGGTTCAGTAACAACCTACCAAGCCTATATTAAATTATAACTTATATAATTTTAATAGATTCAACCTCGGTTGTTTTTTTGTGGCAACCTCGCCAGTCAAAGTGAAGAAGCTCGAGATTCACATCAGTAGTGGCTTCACAACGAGGAGATTCCGTAGGAGTTTCCTTGCTTTGTTTATTTGTGTGCTTATCTTGAAGGGGGGAGAGTGTAAGGAATTAGTAATTCCTTACTGAGGCGCACTGCTAGCGCGTACACCGAGTGTACACGGCACCGGGCTAGGCCCTAGTTCCGTCACCGTACGTGCTACACCGAACCTTTTCCGCGTCATTCTGAAGCGCTATGCGTCCTCGGATACCTTCTCCGAACCTGTGCATTGCGCGGTTAATATTCACTTTGGTGTTCTTGTATCTTGCCTCGTCATTCATTGTATCGACACTTTGATAACGCTCATAACTCTGATTATTATGTCATGTCGAATCTCGATATTCACTTCCACGCTAGTGTGGGTTTCCACCCATGACACTGCACCTGTCAATACAGAATGGGAATTCGATCTTCTCAATGTCAAGCTTATCAAGGTCTGACTGAAGCGGGATTCGGACCGCGTGCCAGTGTTTCGCGCAAATATCCGAAGAGAATGACGCGGTGCGGCAGGTGATCACTGGCATTGCCCTGCGCACATTCCCGACATTGCTCGTCCATTCCTCCTCTCTCGAGCATACTGTCATCCCGACAATCCCGTGGTTGCTTCTGATTGTCTCTCAGGGTGCCAAGTTGCCATTCGCTAACCTCGATGTCTGTTGGAAGTGGAGTGAGACTCCAGCCTCGAGAACACCGAACTGTGACCTTGAGTGACCTGCATGCAGCTCTTGGCGTCCGTGAGAGGTACAGTAGTGGTAGAACGGAACTTGCTAGCGGATTCAGGCTACCGCGTATCTTGGCATCTGGTAGGAAACGTGGACTTCCGTCGCCTTTGACGTCCACTCACGTACTCGTCTCGTTACGAATCAAGAAATCACCCAGAAACAGAGTTGCGAGCATGACAAAAACTAGTCAGCGTCTGCTGCGCGTCAGTGCAGCCATGGATAGCCCCTTCTCGAAACAGTGCCGAGAGTTGGGGATCCACCTTCCTACGCGACGCTCGAGGGCCGGCTTTTGGGATGGACTGCCTACTGAACAGGCAGGAGCGGCGCTCATCGAGCATACGAGGGAGCTGAGTCGCCAGCAGGAGATCCTTTTGCAGCATGCCATGTCCGTCAGCCTCGCGGGAAACGCGGCGCAGCGGGCGGTGCAAGTGGAAAGTGAAGCTCGCGAAAAGCAGTGGGAGCAGGTGGGACTCCTGAAGGTCATCGCATGCTTCTGTTACCATGCGTCTTCGTTACACGTGTCTAATCGTACACTTGCTGCTTCCTTATTGCACGTGGGCAATCTCGTTACGGTGAAACCTCTGACATCGTGGCGTGCGCGTGCTGCAGGCTACCAAGCGGAGCTCGATGGCGGCTCTGGCGCGGAATGTTCAAGACAGCCAAACGGCCCTAGAAGACAGGTTGAATAATCTCAGATTGCTCGCCGACCAGATGCGACTAGGTGAGTCTACTTACCGAGGAATGTCAGGGTTCACTGCTCCAGCCGACATTCACTCGGTCTCGGCTGATCGCCGCAAAATAAATTGCGAGTCAGGCGGTGATGGAAATTCTGAAGGAACCATGGCGGTTGATGCGTTATTTTCAGCCCTTGCCTTCCAACTTCAACCGCCCCTCAATTTTTCGTGCTCTCCATATCCAACCACCTAACCTTCTGACTGGCTTCTTGGCTTCCGCCTTGTGCTCTTTTGCTCGCCTCGTCTCGCCGTCGACGTCGCACGCATGGCGGATCTGCACCATCGTGCTTGAAACACGGCCCGCCTCTCCGCTTCGGCCAGCCGCCGCAGAGGCAAGGAAGAAGATGCTGTCCAGGAAGCTAACCATCCAGCACCTTCGAGCGGACCTAAGCAAGGTGCGTCTCTCCTCGCCTTTAGGGGCGGCCCCGCCGTTCGTCGCGACCCTCTCTCGACGACGTTTACGACGTTTTGCTCTCTCGCGCTTTCCGTCGCAATCCAGGCAACCGGTTTCCGTCAAGGTCTCTGTGCTGGTAACCGCGCCGCTATTTGTGGCTTTCAGTTAAGCTCTTCAGTGGACTTCTCGTTTGCAGGTTAAAGCCGAGCGGTGGCGAAAGCGGTGCGCGGCGGGCGTTGAGGAGCTGATCAAGAGACAGGCTGTGCTTGTAGACGAAGGCGTGGAGGCCGCGTTAAACGAACCCGCGGTGGTGCCAGTGGTTGGGGGGCAAGGGAATCTGCCGTCGACGCATGCGGTGGAGGAGGAAATGGAGGCGGTTGGAATGGCTGGTCTGGGAGAGTTTCAGGAGTGTACTCGACTGGAAGGCAAGGACAGGGGAGAAGAGGAAGAGGCTCAATGCGCGTTGAAAGAGCAAGCGACGTTGTTCGCGGGCGACGGAGAGGTTGCTGTCGCACATGGCTCGCCCGCGAAGACCGCGACCTCCCCTGCGAATGATGCCGCGCCGTCTCCTGCGAACCGTGCGACGGCGCCGTCGCGTGACGACCTCGCGACGCTGCAGGCGGCGATGGCGATCCCTCCGCCCGCGCGGCACCAGCTGCCCCGGACGCCACCACCCCAAGCAGCCGTTCGCGGAGGCGATGCCGCTGATCCGTGCCCGCCGCTGGCAGTTGGTAAGGACGTGGAGGGAGATACAGCAGCCAGGCTGGACTTGGAAACCCCAGAGAGTTTGACGACCCCTCGTGGCGTATCAGTTGAGGCGAACAACTCTGTTGGGATTCAGATGGAGGAGGTAGATCAGCCGCGGGTGAGTCTGCTGGGAGGTGCGCAGCAGCAGGCGGAAGAGAGTGGCCGAGACGGCGGTGCGCGCGGGGAGGAAGAGTGGAGGCGAGTTGCGCGGGAGGCGGCGGGGCAGCAGCGACGCGCGGAGGAGGAGAAGCGGCGCGCGGAGGAGGAGCAGAGGCGCGCGGAGGCGGTGGCGGAGGATGTGCGGAAGGAGAACGAGAAGCTGAGGACCATGCTGCGGTGCTTCGAGCGCCCGGAGGTGGATGAGGTGAGTGAGGCCCCCTGACTGATGGATGAACGGACACTGACGGAATCACTGACTGCCAGTCTGCCCTCTGAGGTTACACTCATTGACGGGCGGATCGTTTCACACATTAATGAACGCAGTGGCGAGCTCTTTCCACCCCTTCCCCTTTCTTTCCTCTCCTTGCTTTGCTCGCTGTCCCTTGAACTCGTCCGCTGCTCCCTCCCGCTCTCACCCTCTTCCTTCCCACCGGCAGCGGATCACCGCATAGCCCAAGTCCTCAGGGTCTCTCATGCGCTCCAATTCCGACCTCTACCCCCGCACCCCACTCCCGCTCTTCGCAGGCGGGCCGAGAGATTCTCCGCCAGATCCTCGCCTCCCTCCCCTACCACGACAACGCTTCCTCCCCTCCAGCGACCTCCGCTGCGCTTCCCCCAGCGCCTTCCACCTGCGCGCGCGCCGAAGCGGCGCCTCCTTCCCCCGTTCCCACTGTCGCTGCTGAAACCGCTGCTGCTGGTGCTGCTGCTACCGTTGCTGCTGCTGCCGCTTGTCCGACAAGTCATCCGGCTTCCGCGGCGGAGGCAGAGGAGGAACGTGGCACAGCAGCGTTGAGCGGTGGCCCCCAGGGTACAGACCACGGAGGCGCTTCCCGCTCGGCCCGTTCTGCTTCGCCATCCCCTGCTGCTCGCTTTCACTCTGCTCACGGTCCCCCAGACACAGCAGCAGAAGAAGATGCAGCAGCAGTAGCACCAGTGGCTGAAGCGCCAACACCAGCGGCACCATCAGCTGCAGTAGTGGCAGCAGGAGAAGACTCAGCAGCAGAAGCAGCACCCGCAGCAGCAACGTCACCACCTCCAGCGGCGGCGGCGGCGGCAGCAGCAGCAGCAGTAGCAATACCCTCACAATCTAGCTCGCATACATGCGCCCCTGCGCAATTCGCCACGCTTGAGTGCTCGCAGGATTCCGACAACAACTCCCAGTCGTTAGCCCCTCCCGGAGTCATCTCCCTTAGCGACGACACTGTGGCCGACGAAAGTCCGCGGGAGAGCGCAACTGCTGCAGCGGCCAGCGGGGCGATTGGGGATGGTGAGAGAGGCGGAGGCGGAAACAGCAAGGAGAAGTCGGGCGGAAGCTTCGCGGGGAAAGGGGTGACGGGGAGTGGAGATGAACGAGAGGCAGAGGAGATGGGCGCAGGCGGGGAGAGGGGCTCGGAAGAGAGAAGCGCAGAGGGGAAAGACCGAGCGGAGAGCTGCCCAGAAGGCGGAAGCAGCGTCGACTTGACGGACATGATTCAGAGGCTGCGCGCGCGGAGCCTGCGGGCTCTGACAGAGGCGGAGGCGAAGAGGCGGGCGGAGGAAGAAGGCGCAGCCGCTTCAGCGCGAGAGGGAGAGGGGGAACGGGAAGGAAGGGGGGATGCGGGCGACGCGGAGGATGGGGCGGCAGCGCGGGGATCGCAGGGGGAGTGTGAGGCGGCGGAGGGCAAAGGGCTTCAAGAAATTGCTGGTGCAGCAGCTTGCGGGGGAGGGGATGATGCTGCTCATGCTGGTTCCGATGCTACTGGCGCTGCCGCTGGTGATATTGCTCAAGACACAGGAAATGGCAGGCGCAGAGGCAGGAGCAAGGCTGACAGTGGTGTGAGTGGGAGGGAGGTCCTTGTGGAGGAGGGCGGTGTAGGGGCAGTGCGAAAGGGGCGGAAGAGGGCGGCAGAGAGCCAGGAAACGAGCTATGGGTCAGGGAGGGTGACACGGAGTCAGGTGAGGAAGAGTGCAGGGAAGGGGGAAGAGGAGGGAAGCAAGAGTCAGGACACAAGAGCGGAGTCCATGCACGAGGTTGACATGACTGATGTGAGTGTTGCTGATCAGCCCTTCATGGCTGCTGCAGCTGCTGATGATGATGATGATGTGGCCCCTGCTTCTGCTCCTGCTGCTGCTGTTACCACTGCTGCTGCTACTGCTGCTGATAGTGGTGGGGAGAGCTGTAAGAGGAGCAAGGGAAAGGCCAGCAGCACGAGTGCTGCTGCTTTCCTACAAGGAAGGAGCAGGAGCGTGAGCAGTGGGAGGGGTAAGAGAGGCTGCAGCTCGAACGCCAGCGGTAGCAGCAGAAGCGGCAACACTGGCAGCAGCAAACGGCAGTCTCGGAAGCTGAGTGCTGCCAATTGCAATAGCGATGCTGCGGCTGGTGGTGAAGCCGAATCTGATGCTGCTGCTGCACATGGCGAGAAGATTTTTCTGACACCACCTCTTGTGCCTACTAAGGCAGGGAACGAAAAGCAAGACTCAGGAGGTGAAGGTAGTGGAAAGGCAGCAGGCACAGGCACCAAGGGCCGTGGCCTAGCACCAGGGGCCAGTGAACTCTGCAGCGGTCGCCTGGGAGTGAGTGAAACTCCCATGGTCGGTGAGCCACCGCACACGGCAGGGGAGATAGCAGAGAGCACAGCAGGCAGCCAGCCCATCCGCTCCACCTCTCTCTCGGCTGCCAGATGCCTGGCCGCCCTGGGAACGCACTCGCCCGTGCTCACCTCCTTCTTCCAGCGAGCCTTCCCCGTGCCTAAGCTCAAGGGCTCTGGCAGTGCCAGCAGCTGCAGTGGCGCCAGCAGCAGCAGGAGCAGCAGGAGCATCAGGAGAGGCGGGAGCAGCAGGAGCAGCATGGGCGGTGGGAGCGGCGGTAGCAAGAAGGGGGGTGCGAAGGGAGGTGCGGGAGGGGCAGGGAGCAGGTCAGCGGGAGAGGGGGGTGCGAGGGGTGGTGGTGGTGCGGGTGTGGGGGGTGTGTCCTCCCAGCTCTCCCTTGTGCGCCAGGCACTCGCCTTCCATGAGTCTGAGGGCACAAGGTAGAGGGATGGTGGTTAATGGGGGGATGGGGCAGAAGAGAGGACGAATGTGGGGAGGAGAAGAGGGGTGCGCAGTGGGGCAATGGGGGGGAGGGAGGAGGGAGAGGAGAGGGAGGAGCACGGAGAGGGGAGGACACAAGAATGAGGTGTGGAGTAGCTGAAAGGAGGGGTTGGAACGGAAGTGACGATGCGAGGGGAGAATGTGGAGGCGAGCGCAAGGGGAGTGGGAAGGGAGAGCACGTGGAGGCTCAGTGTGTGCATGTACTGGCGAAGGGTGCAGCCAGGTTGTTGAAGGTCTACCTGCTGGATCGTCTGCTGCTAATTCCGCCTGGTCCTTTCAGACACAGAATCAATGCTGCTGCTGCCGTTGTACAGCCATGGGAGGGTGACTGGGAGGGAAATGTATACTGGGAGGGTGCTTGCTTGTTCATTTCGGCATGTACCAGTGTGTTGTTTGTTAGATTTACACAATAACTTGTTAGTTCCTAAAAGACCAATTCGAAATGTGTATTTGTTACTCAGCATGTTATGAATAATAACGGACAGTTCGCGGAATAATAATGATGACTACAAGAATGGGAGCCTAGCATTATATAGCGAGAATTCTAGCAAGGCGTTGAGCCCGGAGGGCTAGGTTGGGCACAGGCGCGGTCGAAAGTGTTAAAAATATATTTTATAGGTATATAATTGTAGGCTTGGTAGGTCTTGCTGGATCCTACTGTAGAGGGTACAACTCCCTCTTTGTATGCCTCTCTTCCTAGTCTCATCTCTTTTCTCTCGTCAACTTCCTCTCCTAGCTCCTAAACCTCTCGCCATTTCATGGCCGCCTTCCTTCCTAGCTAAGTTAGCCTTCTAACATGGTTTCAGAGCAGGTCCCTTTCGCTCGGGCCTTCTTCTCACGCTTCCGCAGCGTACTCCCCCCCCCCCCGTCACGCCGCGCTGGCCCCGTCATGCCGCGCTGGCCCCGTCACTCCGCGCCGGCCCCGTCATGCCGCGCTGGCCCGTCACGCCGCGCCGGCCCCGTCACTCCGCGCCGGCCCCGTCCCTTCGCGCTGGCCCCGTCACGCCGCGCTGGCCCCGTCACCCCGCGCTGGTCCCATCACTCCGCGCTGGCCCCGTCACGCCGCGCTGGCCCCGTCACGCCGCGCTGGCCCCGTCACGCCGTGCTGGCCCCGTCCCTCCGCGCCGGCCCCGTCACGCCGCGGCCCCGTCGCGTCACCGTGCCTCAGGGCTTCATCGTGCCGCCGTCGTCGCGTCATCGCACGGGCGGCAGTGGGTCGCGCACTGGTTTAGGCCCCAGGCAGCAAGCCCGCACTCCAGCTCGCCGCACCTCCCCAGCTCGTCGTGTCGGACCCTGCTCGCCGCATCGGACCCAGCTCGCTACGTCGGACCCAGCGCGCCGCGTCGGTCCCAGCGGACCCAGCTCGCTGCGTCGGTCCCAGCTCGCAGCGTCGGTCCCAGCTCGCAGCGTCGGTCCCAGCTCGCCACGCCAGCTAGCTCCACCCCGCCGCAGCTCAAGAAGGCCTAGCGCCCTCCTTCCCTGCAGTCACCTCTGCTGCAGGGTATGGGGGTGCTAGGCTTAGAGGTGTTGCATGTGGGGTGGGTTTGTGACTACCAAGCCTATGGGGTGTGTTAAATTGTATTTTATAGGTATATAATTGTAGGCTTGGTAGGTCTTGCTGGATCCTACTGTAGAGGGTACAACTCCCTCTTTGTATGCCTCTCTCTTCCTAGTCTCATCTCTTTTCTCTCGTCAACTTCCTCTCCTAGCACTTAAACCTCTCGCCATTTCATGGCCGCCTTCCTTCCTAGCTAAGTTAGCCTTCTAACAGAAAGGGCCAGAGGCGGCGCGAGCCAGCCTCGGGGTCGCGTCGGAAACGGACCGAGCCCGGTCTTCCGAGAGTTCGGGTGTACGCGATTGCAGTAGTACAACCCGGTAAGGAATAAGATTCCTTACACTACCCCCCTGTTACGATGAGCTAGCTAGGGGGGGGTGTTACCAAGCCTAAATTATATGTTTGTTATATATAATTGTAGGCTTGGTAGCTGTTACCGAAACCAACTGTAGAGGGCACAACCCCCCTCCTTGTATCCCTCTCTTTTCTATTCTCGACCTTTTTTCTCTCGTAACTTTCTCTCCTAGCTAAACCCTTGCGTCCCGGCCATGGCTGCCTAGCCGCCTATCATTTCGTTGACTTCGTAACAGGGGAAGCCGTGAATGGCGTGAGGTTTTAGGTAGGAAACATGTCGAGAGAGAAGGGGTTGAGACATGGCTTATTTTATCAGAGTAAATCACTCTGATGGTCTTGGGTAAATTTTTGAAAGTTAAGATTTTCTCTGATTTATCAGAGTTGGCCCATGTGTCACCCTGATGGATATTCAATAGGGGGTATACCCCAGATTTCTTCCTGTACTCCCTGTATTCGGCTAAGTCCTCCGGCTACCAGCCACACGCCTCTCATGGCAACCGCAACCTGGATAATTTTGGCTAAGTCCTCCGCAACCACTCACTCACTTACACCCATCTCATTCCCCCCGCAACCTGGAATATTTTGGCAAAGTCCTCCACTACCAGTCACACCCCTCCCATACCCCTCCCAACCTAGAAAATTTTGGCGATGTCCTCTGCAACCAGACACATCCCTCTCAACTCCCGCAACCCAGACACATTCCTCCCTCCCACACCCAACCCAACCCAACCCAACTGTGATCACTGCTGTTTGACCAGCCCCTTCCGTAAGTCACGGGAGTACTCTGGTGTGTTGTACAGCGAAGGTCTGTTGTACAGCAGTTGCGCCAGCCTATCACTGGCATGTACTTTGCTCTCTTCATTAGCGAAAAAAATCAAACAGATCAGCTGTAGAAGATTCTGCCTGGTCAGCCAGGATTGGCTGTTTGTTGCTGTTTCCCACCCGAAATGCCTACCAGCGCGAGCTGCGCTGCTGACTGAGAGGCGCTGCGGAACAGAGTCTGCAATGGGGGTGCGTTCCGTTCTCGGGGCAAGCCTGAGGCAGAATTTGAGGGCATCAGGTATACGGACTGGATGAATCAACTTTGGAGCTGGAGCAAACTCCCCCGTACAACTGATGCCCCGAAGTTATGCCTCGGGGCTTGTCCCAAGCGCGAAACGCGCCCTGACTAATTTCAGAGAACTCGACGGATCCCAGTATCCAACCAAAACTTGACTGTACAAGGCAGATTTCGACAAAAAACAAATCGATAAACTTGCAGATTCAGTAGAGGTTACCCGGATAAACGCGCTATGGTGCGAAATCAACGGTGAGACGGGGGGTGGTAGAAGTGCCAGTCAGACGAGTCAAGGGGGAAACCAAGGAAGACACAGGGGAGTGTGCAGGCAGTGAGCTTGTCCGTGTCAGAGGCACAAACGTGAGCAAGGCAGCCCTAGACGTGGAACGCAGACGCGTCACCAGGAGATCCGGTCCAGAGAAGGGTCGGCGAAACCTGCGGCCGCTGAGGGTGCGGCCACATGTTAAGCTGGTGAGCGGCGTAACGGACAGAGAACGGCCACAGAAAATGGGGTGCACCTGCGTGGATCATGGAGGTACAAGCCACCTCCATGACCAAACCGATGCGTCGCTCAGCGATTCCATTTTGCTGCGGGGAGTCCGACAAGGTGAACATCTGAGTGATGCCCTCCGCACGACAGAAACGCCTAAGGCAACCAGAGGCGAACTCACCACCGCGGTCTGAGTGGAGACGCAACACAGGGAGGCCGCGGTGCACACGTGCAGAGACGAGCCACGGGATAAGAACGTCAGGCACGTCCGCCTTCCGTTCCAAGGGAAACACGGTGGTGTAACGAGTGTAGTCGTCAACAAGGACGAGGAAGTAATGCTTACGACGTGGCCCATGGACAGGGGCAGGGCACCAAACGTCCATGTGCAAGGTCTGCAAGAGTGCGGTGGTGGGGGGGAACGAGGAGGAGTGAGGGGCACGGCGGAGCCGGCCCTCGACGCAAGGGGTGCACAGCGGCGTAGGTGAGGAGGGGAGTGCGGGGAACGACCCAGGGAGACCTAAAACAAGACCGTGCTGAGACATATGACGAAGACGAGGGAGGGCAGAGTGACCTAGACGGTGGTGCTACAGGAGTGTCGGGTGAGTAAGCGACCGACACGAGCAAGCCACAACTACCTGAGGAGACACAGTCACCTGGGGAGACGTCCCAATCGGGGGGGGGGGGGGGGGGTGGGGGCGGTTTCCAGCGTGAACAGGCCGGACACCGGGTCCCGGGGGAACGTGGTGAGGGGAGCACCAGTGGCGGCCTCGGTATAGACCGCGTACCGCTCGTGATCAGGGAACGTAGTGGTGACGCGAAGGTCCTGAAGGCAGCCGGCACCAACTAGGTTCCTAGAGAACGAGGGGATGTGCAGGCTGGTAAGGGAGCCCAAAGGAGCCGCCAGACAGGGAAGGGTAGTGGAGCTACGAGCTACGACAGGACCAGAGGAAGGGTCAGCCAGCGATACTGCGGCGGGAGCGACAAGTGGCGTGAGAGTAGTGGAGTTCCGGAAGAAGCACCGGGAAGCGCCGGAGTCAAGGGTGAAGGAGAGCGCTGGAGTGGCGGCAGCGGTCAAAGAAGCAGGAGAGGAGCCTAGACTAAACAAAACAGGGGATCCTACGCCTGACGCAGCAGGGGGGTCTGAGTTAGGCACACCGACGCTAGGCAACACGGGGTAAGCGGAACCAATCACACTAGAGTTATCAACATACAGCACATGCAACGCATAACTAATCTCATCCATGTCTATATCAAAGATCTGAACATCCTGAGAAGCAAACTAAGCCAGTTGGGGAGGTCGGGCGACGGGCCGAAGCACAGACGAAACAGATCGTCAAGGCGACTGAAACAGCGGGGGGGGGGGGGGGGGGGGGGTGTGACCGAGCTTACCGCACACGAGGCCACGGCAAGGCCCGGTCTGGAGCTAGTACTTGCAGCGCGCGTCGCCCGACCCACCACCCAACGTCACGCCGCGCGCACAACCACCGCGACCGCCACCACCACCAGCACCGGGCCATCCGGGCGGGAGACGACTAACCCGCCGCAGCTGCTGCTGCTGCTGCGACGGCTGCTGCTGCTGCAATGGCTGCTTCTGCTGCGACGGCTGCTGGTCGAGCGGTGGAACCTGCTGCTTTGACTGAGACTGCTGCTCGGTGGTGCTAGGCCCAGCACCCTCGTCAGCACCCCTAGCGGACGACCCGGCTCCACCACCTCCTCCACCCCCACCTCCTCCGCCCCCACCACCGACGCGCCCAGCCTTGGGGCGGCGGCTCTTTCCCGGACGAACCTGTACTGCCGCGGCTGTCTCAGCCACTGCAGCTGAGCCGTCAGAGAAGGTGCACTGAGCGGGCGCACAGCCTTAGAAGATAGAGACCGGCACAGTACCGCTGGACTGGGCGATAGAGTGCTGGCAGGTCTCTATGGCAGACAAGGTGTCGACAAAGTCAGTGAGGGTGAGTTCGGCGGGGTGAGTACTGAGAAAGTGATCGCGGGCAGTAGCAAGGCGGTTAGGGAGGCGAGTGGCAAGTAGGTAGAGGGTAGCGCAGAGAGGGGGCTGGAACACGCGAAGCTGAGCCTTAGTGCAGGCAGAGCGCCAGGTCGAGTCTAGCGAGCACAAGTGGGCGGCTAGGTCAGCGACATTGGGGAAGGAAGCGAGATCAGGAAACAGCAGAGGCAGGATCAGGCGACCGACAGAGGCAGAAGACGGGGTGGAATAGCGCTCAATAACAGCATCTAGAAACTCCTGGGCGGTCCTGACCGACCTAAAGCGGGGACGCTCAGATAGGGGAAGGGCATGACTTATGACTAGCTGTGCAACAGCGTCACGCGACAACCAGACCGAGCGGGCAAGGGCTGCAGCGGCAGCAGACTCACGCTCAGCAGACGTGGGGTCAGCGGGCAGCGCAGCGGGGGGGTCAGGACAGGGGAGCGTACCGTCAAGGTGGACAGCCAAGGAGTGGCCGTCCTGCCATTGCCCAGTGAGGTGACGGCGGAGGTCGACTAGCCACGTGTCAAACTCGATCGGCTGACCCTCCGCGTCAAATCGGAGCACAGAGTCCGCCATCAGGGGCGATGTAGCTGCGGTTCCGGGCGGTGCGGTGCGGTGCAGTGCAGTGCAGAGAGGTGCAGTGCGGTGTAGGGCAGTGGTGTGCGGTGCAGTGCAGTGCAGTGCGGTGCAGAGAATTGCCGGGCGGTGCAGTGCGGTACAGGGGCCGACTACACGTGACGTGCAGCTGAGCGGCAGGGCCGGGCGCAGGAGCGGGCCGGTGCAGGCCGGGGGCGGGGTGGGGACGGGCCGGCGACGGGTCGGGCGCAGTTTGGGGACGGGGCGAGCGCAGGGGCCGGCTACGGACAGGCGCGGGAGCCGGCGACGGACGGGCGCGGGGGCCGGCTACGGACGGGCGCAGGGGGGGGGGGGGGGGGCTACGGACGGGCGCAGGGGCCGGCTACGAACGGGCGCAGTGGCCGGCTACGGACGGGCGCGGGAGGGCCGCTACGGAACAGGCGCAGGGGGCCGCTACGGATGGGTACGGGGGCCGGCTACGGACGGGCGCGGGGGCCGGTTACGAACGGGCGCGGGGGCCGCTACGGACGGGCGCGGGAGGGCTGCTACGGAACAGGCGTGGGGGCCGCTAAGGACGAGCGCGGGGGCCGCTACGGGCAGGTGCGGGGGCCGGCTACGGACGGGCGTGGGGGGCCATTTACGAACGGGCGCGGGGGCCGCTACGGACGGGCGTGGGAGGGCTGCTACGGAACGGGCGCGGGGGTCGCTAGGGACGAGCGTGGGGGCCGCTACGGGCGGGCGCGGGGGCCGCTACTGAACGAGCGCGGGGGCCGCTACGGAACGGGCGCCAGGGCCGGCTAGGAGGCGTGCACGGGACCGGCTAGGGGACGAGCGGCTAGGACCTAGGGCAAAAGCGCTGGTGGGTGAGGTGGACCTAACCTACTCATGATTCCATGTTAGAATGCAAGAATGATTAGAATGTGAGGGTACAAGGCAATATAGGCTAGTGTGTTGTACCCTCTAAGGCACAAACCTATATAGTCTACAATAACATACTAAGTTATATTTGACAGCTAGGCCTTCGTGAGCTGCGGCGGGGCGGAGCCAGCTCGCAAGGCGAGCTAGGACTGACGCTACGAGCTGGGACCAGCGCGGCGAGCTGGGTCTGATGAAGCGAGCTGGGTCTGACGCGGCGAGCAAGGTCCGACACGACGAGCTTGGGAGGAGCGGCGAGCTGGAGTGCGGGCTTGCTGCTTGGTGCCTAAACCAGTGCGTGGCCCACTGCTGCCAATGCGCTGACGCGACGACGGTGGCACGACAAAGCCACCACGTCAAGGCTGCCACGGCAACGCGATAAAGCCGCCATGGCAGTACGACACAGCCGCTACGGTGGCGCGGAAGTAACGAGAAGGAGGGGGGTATGCGGCGGAAGCGTGAGGAGATGGCTCAGCAGGGCGGACCTCCGGCTCTGATACCATGTTAAGATGAGCTAGCTAGGGGGGGAAGCCATGAATGGCGTGAGGTTTTAGGAAGGTAGGAAAAATATCGAGAGAGAAGGGGTTGAGATAAGAAGAGAGAGGGATACAAGAAGGGGGGTTGTACCCTCTACAATAGGATCCAGTAACACCTATCAAGCCTACGATTGATGCAAAACATCCGGACAATTGTTTCCGTCACTGTATATATATAATATAATTTAACACCCCCCCCTCCTAAGGAAGGTGGTTAGTATCGGGAACGCCTTTTCGGGTGAAATAAGATTTGAGCACAAAGTGTCCCTGAAGCGAGTCGGAAGTGACCCACGTGTCGTCTTCGCTTGTACGGTCGGCCCAGCGGACAAGAAAATCCACGTGGCAGCCTGTTGTGTCGAGGCGGACGCGATGACTCAAAATCTTGAACGGCTCAAGGGTCGGTTCGGCCATCGGGCGGACAGTCGGGACGGCCGTCGGGCGGGCGAGTGCTGACATGTTGGCAATGCAGGGACGAAGGAGGATGACGTGGAAGGCGTCGTGAATGCGCCACTCATCCGGTAGTAATCATTTTGCTGTGACAGGTGTCACCATCTTGAGGATGCGGAAAGGCCCATAGAATCTTGGGCGGAGTTTGGATGGCAGGGGCAGGCGGAAATTCTTCGTGTCGAGAAGGACAAGTTGCCCATCGGTCATCGTAATATTTCGGCGATGAAGGTCGGTGTAGCGTCTAGCCGTAGTGTTGGACTTCCGAATAAATTTGATTGATTTTTCCCGGGCAGTATGGAGGTCGTTAACAAATTGCTGGTACCGGGGCACTGGGTTGTCAATGTTGGTCGTTGTGGGAACCGTGGGATCCATCCCACGATGAGGAAAAATGGTGAGTGATGCGGATGGGGTGTTGTTGTAGGAAAATTCCAGCATGGGCAGGAATTCTTCCCATCGAGCGGGGTCGGGGCAATTGGTGTGTATCAGCCACTCCATGGTCTGATTAGTTCGCTCTGTCTGCCCGTCGGTTTGTGGGTGGTAGGCAGACGAGAATGTAGGCAGGTGCGGTACTGTTCTCATGTCTCTTGCCAGAACTTGGACATAAATTTGGGATCGCGGTCGCTGATGATCCCCGATGGGGGGCCGTGCAGACGAACGACGGTGGAAATGAAGAGTTTGGCGGTTCCTTTGGCTGTGATAGTCATGCGACAGGGTGCGGAATGCGCCACTTCCGTCAAGCGATCGACGACAATGAGGACTGCGTCGTTGCCAAGGTTCTCTTTTGGAAAAAAAAACGTGTATGAGGAATCAGACAAGGTTTGCGCACTTTGTCTGATGCACTTTTCACTATCAGAGAAGTATGAAAAAAGCTGTCTGATTTTTTAGAGAATTCTAAAACGAATGTTTGAAAATTCATAGAAACGTATTTGCATTGTCTGTTTGTATGAGATGCAGCACTTCGACTAATTAGCGGTTGTGGGTTACAAACGAGCAAACCCGCTAAGTGTCCAATCCAGGGTCTCTGCTAGGATTTTCAGCCGTCTGAAAACCAGACTTGGCTTTGAACTTTCATCTAACCGTCATACGAAGACTTAGCGAATGTTTGAGAATTCAGACGAAACTTAAGCACGGTCTTAAATTTCATACGATTTTTTTAATTACCACAACTATTGAAAGCATATTGGGGAACTTAGCCAAAATTTTTGGGGTGTGAGAGGTGTGGGGAGGAATGTCTGTGGTGTGGGGAACTTAGCTGAAATTTTTGGGGTGCGAGGGGTGTGGGGTGGAATGTCTCTAGTGTGTGGGACTTAGCCGAAATCTCTGGGGTGTGAGGGGTGTGTGGAGCCGGTACACGTGTATGCCTCTGTTTCAAAGAAACTCGATACAGCTGTCTAAAAATCAGAGAAAATGGTACACCTAGTCAGAGAAATTCAGAGAAATTCAGAGAAATCTTAAACGCTTGTCTAAGCCAACTAGAGTTTTTTCAAACCATTGTCTGAAAAATCAGAGAAACCCCTAAAAACAAGTCTGAAAATCATACAATCAGACAAAAAAAAGTCTACTATTTAGGACCCTGGTCGTTGCCACTTGCGCTGGCTGGAAGTCCTGTGACGAAGTCCATCGTCACGTGTTGCCACGGCTTCTTGGGTGGCTCGAGCGGTTGCAGTAGTCCAGCTGGCCGCTGTCGAGAGGACTTCATGCGCTGGCAAGTCGGGCATGCTGAAACGTATCTCTGCACATCAGACGCCAAATCTGGCCAATAATAAAAACAGTGAAGTAATTTCTGCGTTTTGTCAACCCCGAAATGACCGGAGAAGTTATAGTTATGGACTTCCTGAATCAGTAATTCGCGAAGGAGACGGTAAGCGGGAAACCATGTACGGTCAGTGCCGGCTTTTAGGAAATAAATTCCCTTAGCTGTGGTGGCTTGTTGGTGGAGGTTGCGGGTGAAAAAGGGGTCGGTGCTGTAGTCGTGGGTAAATAGTCCGGTGAGCAGTGGGTTGGATTGTGCAATGATGATGGAGGCGAGATGGGCAGACGGTCGTGTCGGTGCGTCGGCGATGTTATTCGCCCCACCTTTGTACGAAATGGTGTAGTGGAAGTTGCTCTCGAGGAAATCCAGCCAGCGAATCTGGCGTGGGTTGAGGTTCGGCTGCGCGCAGAGGTAGTGTAGGGATTTGTGGTCTGTCTGTACTGTCACATCGGTTCCCGTCAGGTAGCAGCGCCACACTTTGAACGCATGTACGATGGCGAGCATTTCTTTGTCGTGGACGGGATAGTTGCGCTCGGCTGCCTGCAATTTCCTGGACTCGTACGCGAATTGTTGGAGGCCGTCGCCAAAATCCTGTAACAGTACCCCGCCGATGGCGAAATCGATAGCGTCCGTCAAGACTTCGAACGATCGAGACGGATCAGCGATTCGGAGGACCGGGGGTGACATCAGAAAATTTCTGAGTTTGTCAAAAGCAACTTGCTATCTCTCCCCCCACTCAAAAGAGGTTCCCTTCCGCAGCAGGTTGGTTAAAGGTTCGGTTATCCCTGCCATATTGGGGAAAAATCGTCGGACGTAATTAACGAACCGGAGAAAACTCTGCAGCTCTTGTAAATTCGTGGGCGGCTTCGAGTCGCGGATGGTGGTGATCTTCTTCGGGTCGATTTTAATGCCTTCCGCTCCGACGACGTGTCCCGAAAATTCCAGTTCGGATTTTAGGAACTCGCACTTAGAGCCCTTAGTGATGAGTCGATTTTGCTGCAGCCGTTGAAAAACCCGGTTGAGGTCCTGGAGGTGCTGTTCCTGTGTCTTGCAGAAGACCAAGATGTCATCGAGATAGACGATGACGCACTTGTCGAGTAAATCTCTGAACACGCCGTTCATGGTCAGTTGGAATGTAGAGGGCGCATTCGTGAGGCCAAAAGGCATCACTGTGTACTCGTAGCTGCCGTAGCGGGTTCGGAATGCTGTCTTGTGGCAGTCGTCGGCGAAAACTCGTATTTGATGGTAACCGCCTCGCAGGTCAATCTTGCTGAAGAAGCGAGCTCCTCGAAGTTGGTCAAGGAGATCATCCGCGCGTGGGATTGGGTAGCGAGATTTGATGGTTCGTCGATTCAGCGCCCGGTAATCAATGCACATTCGTAGCCCTCCATCTTTTTCGGGCGTGAAAAGAATGGGCGCTGCAAACAGGGATGTGCTGGGTCGAATGAAACCTTTTACAGTAGGTAGTCCAGCTTGCTTCGCAACTCCGTGAGTTCAGGCTGAGTCAGCTGCCAATGTGCCTTGACGGTTGGTTGCGCGCCTTGTTCTAGGTCTATTTTATGGTCCTGGGGGCGCTCAGGTGGCAATCCAGCTGGCAGGTCATCCAGAAAAATATCCGGGTACTATCGAATCAGCGCAGCGAGCTCGGCAGGGACACTGGCACAAAGTTTGTTGATGTCCTTCAATGTGTCGTCGACCGTCACTTCATGCAGATGGACGGCGTACAAATCAGCTCCCCGTTTAACCGCTTGATGGAGGGTGAGGGCATTGACACGTGTCAACACTGGATCCCACCCGCGCCAGCACGGTAGTACGCGCCACCCATTCGCACAGTGCACGCTGCATTTACCAGTTGTCTAGTCGATCCTTGGGTTGTATTTTCGCAGCCTATCGCGTCCGAGAAGAATGTCGCAGCCGTCCAGCGTCTTCACCAGCATGGGCATGCTGAATCCGAAATTGTCGCCACACTTAATCCGCACCATTCGCGCTCATTCCCAAATAGCAAGTGGCGTCTCGTCCACCAGTCGCGCGTCAATTTTGGGCAGATACTTCTCCTATGTCAGCTTCAACTGCTTCGCTGTGGTCATGTGGATCAGGCTATGACTAGCCCCACCATCCACAAATAACTTATTTTTTTCCTTTCACCTTGCCTTCGACCAGTACAGGGTGATCTTCAGGTTCGCTCCCGTTATTCGTCCGAGTGCAGTTGATAGCATGTATCGGTACCACAACTTGGTAGGAATGCTGAAGTTCGGGCGACAAAGCCTCGTCAGTAGGGGGGCCGTCTGCTACAGACTTTTCCCATTTCCCGGCTTCTCCTTGTCGTTCTTCGTCTTCTTTGTGTTGTGTGATGTCATCATATGCTATCACATTCTGTCTGCCTCCCATCCCATGTTTTCAACTTGCATGTGTGGTTTGAATGTGAAAGAATTTGTGTGTGGTGTGTTCTGGAGTTTGGGAATGTGTTCTGTGTTATTTTTGTTTGAGCAGGTATTTTGATGATAGATCTTGAGAAGATCTTTCCGACGCAACAAGAATCGCTTCAATCGGAGCAAGAACGCGAAAGCTATGAAGATTCAAAGTTCATGAGCTTGCGTTACAATTGCGGCGGTTACAAAGTGAAGTTGTGGGGTGACTCTATATGGAGTTGGGACCTTTGGGGTTGGGGAAATTTGTCACTCTACTGTAACAGCTGCAAATTGGTTGGGAACAACCAAGCTAGGTTGGCAAGGGTGGCCAACTTGGATGGATTGGTTGGGAAGGGACAAAGGTCAAAGTTGAGGTTCCTATAGGGAGGGAATCTTTGTGCTTATGGGGTTTCCTTGGTTGGGGACTCTCTTGGGACCTTCCCTCTCGTCCCTCTCTTTCTATCCCAACCTTTCTCTTGCTCCTCAAATTCCTTGTGAGATTCTTGAACTTTGATTGAACTCTTGAGATTGAGTTAAGTTCTCCTCCTACAGCTTACCCCCTAGTGCGTCGAAAGCCATAGCGTCGCGAATACTTCATCAATCAACGTGATTCAAATTGGGAACGGTAGCTGAGATCAAGAGCTACAACATATCCAAGTTTCGCGACATTCCAACGGCTAGTGTTTTGTCGACGTCGTTTCTTGTGAAGACGACTTTTCTGTCCAGAATTTCGGATTTATATTTTGAGTAATTCTAGCTCCTAAGTTCACCTAGACTCTGTCCTTAATCCTAACAAGTGGTATCAGAGCGATATTAAGGACATTGAGAGGAGTCTACAGAAGTGTGAAGACCCTTCTAGACCCACCATGGCCTGTGGGTGTGCCTAAGTGGTGTTCTAAAGGTTGGATGTGTCTTCCGCTAAGGGGAAACTCTGCCGAAATTTCGTGGACGCCGACACTTGTGAAAATATCGAGGGAGCTGAGTGTGGACAGCAAAGGGGAGCTGAAATTCGTCATTTCTCAAGGAGAAGATGAATGAGAGAGGAGGAGATGCTAATGGAAGAGGAGCTGTAGCTGAGAAGACAAGTGAGCCGCCGCCATCAAAAGTTGAAGCTTTGGATGGCTCCAACTATGAGGAATGGAGCGGACGGATGAGGAGTGCCTTCAAACGCTACAAGCTCCTGAAGATTGCTGTTGGGGAAGAGAAGATGCCGGAAGAAGGCGAAGCACGTGAACGGTGGATTGAGAAAAGCGCGGTGCTTTTCGACCTCATTCTTCAATCGGTCAACAAGGAGATGTTCGAGCACATCAAGGATCTTGTGGAAGCGGATGATTCGGGTCCAAGGGCGTGGAAACTACTACGTGATGTGGTTCAGCCCAACACTCTCCCGATGGTGATCGTGCTCGAGAAGGAACTTGCTGCCATCTCCATGCGACCAGGGGACGATGTGAAGCCGGTCCTTGACAAGATCAAGGACACCTATGCAAGGATGGCAGCAGCGGGCAGCAGTGTATCTCAGCTGCAGCAGTGCACCAAGATCATCTCGGTGTTGGACAACTCTTGGGACAACCTCATCCCCACCCTCAACTCTCAGCAAGATCAATGGACACCTGAGTGGCTAAGGCAGCAGATTCTGCAGGAGGACTTCCGCAGACGCCATGTGGGAGGCGGTGCTGCCACTAAGACTGCTGAGGGGTATGGAGCTGCAGGGCGCAGCAGAGGAAGAGGGGGTTGGAAAGGCCGAGGCCGTGGGAGGAGCTTTGGCAGAGGTAGAGGCCGAGGTGACTATAATGAGGGGCATGGGAGCTCTAGTGGCAGGGGGAGTACCAGAATGGAGGGCACGTGCTGGTACTGCAAGAAGGTTGGGCATCCTTGGTTCAAGTGCTTCAGCAGGCTGGAGGGATGGGCACCTCCAGGCATGAAGCCGCCCAGTGGTGAACGCGCACAAGGTGGCGCTGTGCAAGGCTCAGGTGCACAAGGTGAAGGTGCACAAGGTAATGCCTATCCTGGTTTGTTTGTTATGGTTGAGGATGTGCATGGGCATGAGGGTGATGTGGGATCTGTGGGAAAGGTTGTGATGCACCCTCTCACGCACTGGGTGATTGATTCGGGTTGCACCAGTCACATGACTCCACGGGCAGATTTGCTTGATGAGGTAAAACCCCCTGGGAAGATTAAGTATGTGGCAGCAGCGTCAGGTGCTTTGCTCCCCGTGATTGGTGTTGGGAATGCCAAGGTTAAGGGAGCTAATGGGGAGCTTGTGGGGCTTGGGAATGTTCTGCTGGTTAAAGGCTTGTCTGCTAACCTTCTCTCTGTGCGGCGACTGCAGAAGAGTAAGGCCGAAGTGACCTTTGGACCAACCAGCTGCCGTGCTAAGCTTGGGAAGAAGGTGCTGTGGAGTCTGGAAGAGGAGACCAGCTGCATCAAGGACCTGTGGCAGCTGCCCATCATCCCTTGGAATGGGAAGACTCCAACAGCAGCAACGGCAGCAGCGGCAAAGGCAACAGCAGGAGGAGATGCAACTGCACCAACTGATGGGGTCCTGGAAGCAGTCAAGAAAGTGCAGAAGCAGCAGACACATGGTGAGGTGCTTGCTGGTGTGGATGCGAGTGCGGCATGGGCTAAGGCTTCACCAAGGAGTGGAGAGGCCGATTGGGAGACATGGCATGAGAGGCTGTGTCATGTGAACTTCCCTATGCTGCAGAAGTTGGTGAAGGATGGGAGCCTGAAGGGCTTGGAGGTGAAAGGGGGAGTGAAGGAGATTGGGAGCTGCCCTACATGCTTGGAGACCAAGTTCTCCAAGTTCCCCTTCAACAGCACTACAGGACCAGCCAAGACCCCACTTGCACTTGTGCATATGGATGTGGTGGGGCCCACAAGAGCCCCTTCCCTCTCAGGCAGCCGCTATTTCTTGACAATTGTGGATGACCACACTCGGGCAGTGTGGGTTTACCCTTTGAAGAGCAAGGGGGAGGTGGCAGCGGCTGTCCTTAAGGAGTGGATGCCTAGAGCTCAGAGGGAATGCGGACACAAGGTGAAGGTGATCCGCAGTGACAATGGTGGGGAGTTCATTGGAGCTGATTTTGAGGGGGAGTTGAAGAGGAAGGGGATCCAGCATCAACTGACAGTGCCCTACAACCCGCAGCAGAATGGCGTGGCTGAGAGGTTCAACAGGACCCTGCAGGAGGGGGCACGCACTCTCCTTGGGCGTGCAGGGCTGCCTGATCCGTTTTGGGTGTCTGCACTGAGGCAGGTCGCCCTTGTGAAGAATAGGGTGCTGGCTACAGTTGG